AGGTTCCACCAGTGGACCCGGAAAGCAGGCTCACACCTACAGAAGGAGGTTCCAAAATTCTTTGAAACCCACCACTGGGCCAGGATCTGCCAACCCGTGTGAATGCACGCATGCCTCCACCTGCCCTCCTGGTCTTCTGAAAGGGCCTTCTGAAAAGCCAGGTGCCGTCCCCACCTGCTGATGACCAAGGAGACTCTCAAAAGTCTCAAGTTGGGGCACCCAAGCCGGCAGAGCTGATTCCCCCGCAAAAGAGGAGAAGAAAAGGAAGGAGGAGGAGGAGGAGGAAGAGTCTGGGTTTCTATCTCCCGAGAGAGAGAGAGAGAGAGAGAGGGAAACTGCCACGATGCAGAAATGCTGCTTGAACGAGGGCCAAGCTCTGTCTGTAAGTCTATTTATGTCGGGAGCATTTAGGCAGGGGACGATGGTCTTCAGAAACCCTCAGGTTGTGTAGGAAGCAGATCCTTCCGGCAAAGTGGACCCTTGGGGTGAAGAGGGAGGGAAAGGTTGAGAAGGGCTGTTCTCTAGCCGGGGGGGTGGGTGGGTGGGTTTGGCCCCCCAGGACTCTCTCTGCAGCCGGGACCACCCTGAGCCACCCCAGAAGAGAGAAAACTTGCTGGAACCCTTCCAGGGCGACGGTTGTGAGGCTGAAATAAAGAAAGCCACTTTGGGCCCCTGAAGAAAAGGCGGACATCCGTCTAACGATGAGCAGAGAACGAGGATGAGTCGAACAAAGGATCTTCTCCTTGCTTGGCATTGGCCAAAGAGCTCTCCTGAAGCAGGTGTGGCCACTCCGTGTGGCCACGGTGGGAAAACTTCTCCAGCCCATAATACAAGCCTGCCAGGATTGGGCAGAGCCAAAAGAATTCCAGCCTTCCAAACAGGAAGATTTCGCTCCAACTCTCTGCAAAAACCGGAGATGGTGTGGCCCTTTGCCAGAGCCCGGACAGGGAGTGGCCACCGTGGGGATGTCGATGAGCAACAGGAAGGAAACCGACTCTGGCCAGGCAGTGGGGCAGACCTAAGGGGGAGCTGAAACCAGGACAAAGGCCCCTGGGAGGGAGGGAGGGAGGGAGGGAGGGAGGGAGGGCTAGTTCTCTGCTCTGATGAGCAACTGGCTAAGGGGGAGCAGATATGGGAGTCCGGCAGCTTCTTCCTGCACCCCAGGGCCTTGCCTGGGCTTTCTCCAGGATGCCTGGAGGGAAGCAGATGTGTGCAGCTGGGCTGACGCTCCTTCTGGGGTGGCTGGGTGGCTTGGTAGCCCTTTGAGACACAGCAGACTATAAGCACGACCGTGGGTGCTTACGGTCCCCACGGCAAAGAAAATCACCGAAATCCCCATTGTTCCCAAAGAAATAAACACGACATTTAAGCTAGAAGATATGCGCTTGGTCAACCTTCCACGGAGCCAGAATGCAGCAGGCAAAACCACGAGGAGCAGGAAAAGAGGGAAGGAAATACGCTTCCTTTATGATTCCAGGGATGGGCCAGTAAGTGGATGTGTCCCGAGGGCCCAAAGGGGAGGATGAACCACCTTGGTTTGTGCCCCCAGGGAAGGAGGCGCTCTCCTTACCTCTGATGGTGTCTTTCGTGGGGCCCAGGAACCACGGCAAGAGCAGGAGGTAGAGAAGGTAGACCAGGGAGAGGCCGTTGAATCGGAAGAGGCAGGCTGCGGAGGCAAAAGAGGGGAAGGCAATCAGCACACAGATCAGAAGCATCGCCTGGGGCTTCTCGGGGACCTGAGTTTCCCTCCCATAAGGGGGCCCTTGGAAATAGACTGGCAGGACCGGGCAGTCTTTAGAGGCAGGAGAAGCAAACTGGAATCCTGGCTTAAATAGGGAAACTCCTCAAGGCAAGCAGCGAGGCCCAGCAACTCACTTAGCGACTGTTCGAATTATGACAGATTCTTTTCACGTTCTAACCCGGAGAAGGTCCCTGAATGGCTTGGCTCTCCTTTTCCACTTTTCCTCCCCATAATAATCTATTGGGGGGGGGGGAATGACGTCCTCTTCTTAATCTCTGTGGCAAGAGAATCAATGCAAGGGGCATAAAAACAGCAACGCGGCTCAGTTGTGGCTTGGAACTCAAGCCCGGGGATACGAATGTGTGGAGCTTCATGTTGCACCGGCTGTGAATTTCTGGCCTTCCACTGCAACCTTAATTTAGAAATCCAACAGCAGAGGTGAAAGCGGAGAGACGCCAAAGGCGGGATCGCTTTTCAAAGCAGGGCAGATGAAACCAACCCGCCAGTAAAGGGTGGGGGGAGGAGGCACGGCCCGCTCTGCCGCTGGCATCGTCTCCCGCTGGTCAAGACGCTTTGCAGAGGAACTACGATGCTCAGCTCCACTCCCCCAGACCCAGTCTAACAGAGGCCTCTTCCCCCAATTCTTGGTTCCAAGGGACCCCCTGCCATGGTCGGCTGGGCTGACTTTCCTGCTTTGGTGGTGGAGACCACTGCAGAATCCCCCCCCCCCACCAGTGAAGACTGCACAGGACCCAGGCACCAAAGCAGGGAAGTCCTTGGCTCTGCCCCCTTGTCAAGAAGAGAGGGTGGTTTTCTCAAGGGGGAAAACCAAGCAGAATCTCCAGATTTGCGCAATCAAAAGGCCAGTTTGATGCTTAAAAGCCAAGACGAGAATGGGGGTCGGCGGCCCTGAGCTGCGTTTCAGAAGTTTGGGTCTCGGGGGGTGAGGAAGAACTTTTGCAAACTTCCAACAGGGAGTCTTACACCATCGGCTTCCAGCCCAATCCTGCCAGTCTCCTGGCCTCCCTGAAACCCCCAGCCAAATTAAGAGATAAGGTGGGGAGAGGAACAAACAGCTGGAAATACCTTCCTTCTTGATCATTCTGGTTTAAAGCAAGGCCCTCCTGAATGTTTGGGGAATGAAAATACCCCCAAGCCACCCTTGATAAGATCCCGTTTCGCAAATATGCGCTCCCATTCTTTT